TCACAGCTTCGGCCTTGAGCCCATCGCATTCCATCGCGCCGAACTCGTACAAGCTCTGCTAGAAGGCCTTCCCGAGGAAGCAAGAAAGAAATACTATGTCGGCCAGAAAGTGGTCGACATTGCGACAACCGAGACCGGCGTCGTAGTCACCTGCGCCAACGGCAGAACATTCACGGGATCGATGGTACTTGGAGCCGACGGATTGCACAGCCAAACGCGCAAGATCATGCACAAGCTCTCTGCAGAAGACCGCTTCTCAGCCTGCCGTAACCCAGAACCGCCATTCTCCGCCCACTACCGTTGTCTCTGGTCCAACACACCGCGGCCATGCGCAGCTGGTCTGGGAAACAACACACAGGGCAAAGACCGATCGCTCATGTGGATTACCGGCCGTGAACGCGCTTGGTTGTTGCTGTACGAGAAACTGCCAGAACCGACCCAGGAGCCGAAACGATATACAAAGGAGGAGATGGACGAGTTCGCTGCTAGCTTCGCGGACTGGCCCGTCAACGACGATCTAAAGGTCAAAGATATCTACGATAGCTCGACCGCGGGCATGTCAAATTTGGACGAAGGCGTACTGGATCATTGGAGCCTGGGACGTATCGTGCTCGCCGGCGACGCATGCCACAAGTTCACACCGAATGCAGGACTGGGATTCACGAACGGCATTCAGGACGTCGCATTGCTTTGCAACCTACTACACAATGCGACAAAGTCAAGTGCAGGCTCCGATATCAGCTTCGACGCTCTCCAACAGATCTTCCAGGAATACCAGTCTTCGCGGAAAGAGCCAACTGCATTTGACTTTGGTGTCTCGGCTGCCGCAACTCGCAGTCACGCTTGGGCTACCCCAATCTACTGGTTTGTGGGCAGGTTCATTTACCCTCTCTACGCTTTTCAATGGCTTTTGATGAAGTATGTTGTGGCCCCGCGAATGAAGCAAAGTAGGGTGTTGGACTACGTCTTCGGCGAGGACCGCATCCAAGGCCGCACTCCATGGGCTTACCCTATTCACACGAAAGGCAAAGAGTTGTAACGGTAGTGTAGTTGGTGCAGCATTAGTCAATGGTAATGGATTGATGTTGTTCAGCTTCGATGACAGTGAGTGATCGGCAGCCTTGCACGAGCTCTTCGTGGCTGACCGGATAAATACGCGTCAGAACCCACCGTCTCACACCACAGAACATGATCAAGCCAGCAAAACCCACCGAATCGTGCCAGGAATTCTCGATTGCGAATTAACACGTCATACATTCGTGGGTAGATAAGCATTTCCGCGCCGTTCCTTGCGGTTGGCAAAGCTTGAGTATTGCATGGTGGGGCACACTACATCCTCCCTGTCTAAGCTGAATATGAAGTTTAGCTCAGTAAGTCGCAGGCAGGATGCTCAAGCGCCCCCCGTCGGTAAGCAATACATTCCCGTTCACATAACCTCCAGCTCTACTAGTGAGGAACAGTATTGCGCCCGCCATATCCTTGATGTTGCCAGCTCTCTGATCGGGTATGAAGTCCCTCGGCCACGTTTCCTGGTTGAGCATGCCCGCGGTCATCTCACTGGGGTATACTGTCGGGTGCTAGTAAGCAAAAGGCAGGAGGAAGGGAATGCTTCGACTTACAACCAGGCGCAAGTACATTAGAGCGAATATCGTACGGCACCAACGTCGTCGCCAAAGCCTTCATGATATGTACTGCCGCCGACTTGGAACCAGCATACGCATAGCCCGCCATCGGTACGCGGTTGAAAGCACCCGCGCTGCTGATACAAATAACCTGACTTTTTTGCTCAATGTTGCCGGCTTTGTTGCCTTTGTCGAGTAGCTCAAGAAACGCAACGACCGTGAAGAAAGCAGACGTGGTGTTTACAGCAAAGGTTTGCGTGAACTCGTCCACATCCCAGTTCCATAGGTGGTCGCGGAATTCGGTGATTGATGCGCCCTTTTCCAAACCTTTGAGTGTTGGACCTTGAATGCCGGAGTTTGCGACAACAAGATTGACGTAGCCGGATTTGGCGGCGATGTGGTCGACCGCTGCGGAGAGATCGGATTTGGATGTCACATCGGCCTTGAAGTAGTGGATGTTTCCATGCTTCTAAAACAACGTGTCAGCATAGTCTAGGGCATCGTTCGACGAGCATACCGCTGTGCTGGCTGCCTGCTTCAGTACTTCCTCTCGGCGCCCTAGGATGTACACGATCGCACCATTCGCCTCGAGTGCTTGCGCTATCATCAATCCGATGCCTATTCATGAATTAATAACCCTGCAAATAGGAAAGAACTCTTCCTTACCTGTTCCTCCGCCCGTAACTACAGCCACTAACCCCTTCACATTAAACAAAATACTTGGGTCGAGATCAGCCATCGTGTAAAGATGGTGTTTTCACAGCTGTTCCAAGCTCTAGCTTATGCAGACGGTGATGTCGTAGCGAGAATGCGCGAGGTACGGACGGAGATACCGAAGCTCCGCGAAGTGACAGTGACGTGTTGAATCTTACAGGTTGAAGCTGATGCATGACTGCGCCCGCTGTAATGCCGAAAAGTACCCCGCCCTAATGTCGCTAGGTTTCAGAAAATCTGATCTCATTCGCTATCGACAGACATTGCCCATCGTGTCGGCCTGGAATAAAGACGCGTCTCTCGAGCTTTTTCGATGCGACTGCTCCTAGGAGCGTGTAAAATCAGCGAAGTCACAGGCTTCCAGAGCATTATTTTGGAGACCATGGCCCGGCTGCGTATCAAGACACGCATTACTCTACATGAAATACTGTGAGTTCTGAGCAGGTGACATCAGGCCGGGGCCAACGCGCACCTGGCATCAGTATCATAACGCGCAATCGTGCTGAATGTTCAATTGATGCAGTTCGGTCTCGCGTTGGTCGCGCGTAGTGAAGTGAGACCTGTTTTCGCGAAATATGTATCGCGTAATCCAGGGGAGAAGTATTGGTGCGCCTGTCCCCTAGGTTGGTGTCGAAAAGAAGGTGGTGATGTTGCGATGGAAGGGTGCGAGCCTCGGATGACACCCTGGAACGCGCTAGCACCGCGTGGGGTAATTAGCGGCACACCTCAATGGGCAAATGCGGGGTCGCTGCCTAGTCGGCCAATGCTACACCGAGTTGTCCACGATACGGCGTCGACGTCTTTCAGGAACACGTTTACAAGTTCAGCCTCGTGACTTTTGGCTTCTTGAACATCAGCGACTGCTTCATTCTCACCTTCACCTCACCTATCCCGTTGTTCATCCACAATGGGTCTCGCCCCGATCGAGTGTCTACCCGTCGAACTTCTTCAACCCATCTTCATCGCCGCCAACCATAACATCGCGCTCATTCAAGCTTCGCATCACATCGCAGCACGACTGTCATCCGAATACATCTACAACTCAACATGCGACTACTACCTCACTGAGGTACGAGGCAAGCGCGCCGAGCAGACAGCGGCTCAAACCTTTATCTTCGCCAGCAGATGGATGACCTGGGATTTCTTCAAGTCGTGGATCGTGCGACGATTTGAACCTGCAGGGTGTCTCTGTGGCCTGACGACAGATGAAGGCTGCTTCGATGCGCAGTGGCCGCCCGACTTCCAAGATGCCACACAGATGATCTTCTCTAGAAGTCATTTTCCTCGGCTCGCTTTTGTGAAGGGACGCCTGCCGAAGAAGCTGTTCACGGGCTCGTGGACCGAAGAAAAAGTCGAGTTCTTACGATTCTTACTCTGGATTACAGCGATGACTGTCGACTGGACGAACCCTGAAGTTGCGCACGCGGCTGTCGCTGCCAGAAAGAATGCCATGCTGGAACGCAATCTTGAGGCAGTAGAGCTTTTCAACCACAATCGACGCCTAGGCCGACCTGCCGACCTGGACACAGTGCGATTTGCTGTTATCGAAGCTGGCTGCGACCGATCCATCGTCTATGACACGCTAATGGCTGCAAACATTCGGCATGGACCTGGACGCCTACGATATTCCGCCGAACTCTACAAATGGTGTCTCTCTCAAGTAGCGGAAGGGAACCAGAAAGGCCTGTGGCTGCGGATGAAGCTTGAGGAATCGTGCATTATGAGAAGTGAAGGGGAGGCAAAAGAGGCACCTAACGCAGGTCTCCTCATGGAGTTGAATGCTAGCACCAGAGATTACGATGGTGGACCAGAAGATACACTTACAGTGAACGATCTTCGTTGGAATAAGGTATGTTGCTATTTCCCTATAAGACTCTGCTAGTTCCAGTAATTCCTCGCCTCATCCAGGAGATATCGATCTCCTTCCCAGTAGTGGACATTCGCCAAGGCCGATCATGAATTGCAAACTACCAACATCAATAAAGAGACGCGCAGGACTAAGCGTGCACTAGGCGGTCCCAGACAAAGGATGGCTCATTTCCAGGATGACGGGTTATGCACGTCAGACCATCAATCATAACATTAGTTGGCCCGAGGTCGTACGCTCCCCAGGGTACTGCATGTACCGCGGTCACACCTGTCCTCGTCGACTACATTGCTGGGTTGAACACAACGGAGCCTCACGAAGGGTTGAACTTTGGCTTTCGCCGCCAGCGTCTTGCACCAACAAACAGATGATCATGCGTCGCATTGGGGAGACGAAGAAGTTTTAGGACTCTTGAAATCATAGCTAGCTGGCGTTAACACTAGAGACATCTTCAACATTCCGCAGTGCGTCAGTCTACTATCGCCGGTATTGGATGTCCAGCGATTATCCAAGTCCACACACTAACACCTCATTCCAGCCTCATCGCTCGTTCGGATGGTTTGCCGACATTCTCCCGCGACGATACGGCATACACGGCACGACGAGAGCAGATCTAGGTGACTACTGGCATCATTTATATGGGCAACGACGCTTGACTCGCGGGGCTAGTCAGGCGGGATCGCCAGTTCACGATTTTTGGCTTGAGATGTGGATTCCGCAGACGAAGAGTCGAACCCATGAACAGGGTGGATAGTTTCGACAAGCTCTTGAATAGTTGCCATTATCTACCTTGTCACTCACAACTTGCTCGAACTATCACGTCCAACAAAGCCATCAATTGGCCTGATCTTCACCAAATCCGCCCCATCTCTCCGCCCATCGACCATGAACTCTTGGTATGCGGCAAACGAATCCCAACTCTGCAGTACACTCTCCACACGCGTGCTTTTCGCTTCTCGGTCTTCGACGACTGTGAACGAGCTCACGCCTTTTACGCTCTTCATCACGATCTGCGACAGCTCGCTCCACTTTTCGGCCTGTTTGGTGGCGGATGTGTCCGGTTTGGAGGGAATGTTCAACAAAACGATGGCCGGATTTGATGAGATTAGTACTGGTGATGATGTTTTCTTGGTGATAATCGGGCAGTTGTGAACTTCTGGTGGCTGAGCAAGGACATCTCCGGTGGTGAAGAGTCGTATGAGATCTTGTACAGGCTTGGTAGTCAGATGCGCATCACTTGCTGCTTGGTTTGCGTATCTAGCATGGTTAGCGACATTGTTGTCCATTCATTTATGAACTTACTCTTCAATCATATATATCTCAGTCCGCGAACTATCATCCACCGGTAATGCGCAGACATACTGCAAGACCTCCGGCTCGTGTGGTGTCGTGAACTGGATGATCTTGTGAAACGCGTCGATGGCCTTTTGCCGGGCAGCCTCATCCTTGAAGACCAGTCTAGCGGTTGTAAGGATAGCTGTCATCTTGAAGCATAGGCGCAGATATGTGAAGATCGTTCATGGTAGTTTCGATTGTTTTATGAAGGTGAATGGAGATACCCCGCAAGCTCGGGATACCAGTTCCGATGCTCGGAATAGCCGACCCGTACCTGCAGCTAGGCGCTGATAATGCCGTGAGAGTCAACATTCCAGAACGCATATGCGAGGTAGACAACGACATTGATAATGCGGTGCTCAAGTGAGATGCCATAAACGACGTTGAGGAAGACATGGGTTCAGGAAGCTCGCCGTTACCTACGGTAATATATCTGGAGAGAGACACCTGGGCAGGCCCGCTCCTAAACTCCACTAATATGCAAGACCCCACGCGACCGATGGCATCTCTAAAACTCCGATCACCTCATAATATAATTCTCTCAAACAGGCCTAGAGCCGACATCGACGTGAGGTCACGTGTTTTGCATGTGTCCATATTGATGTAGTCTGCATACATGTTCAATTTTCCCTAAGTTGACGTGCAGTCCTATGACCCCTTCGTCGCGCGCACGACCCACAATGGGTCCAAATGATCTGGAAGTCGCTGCGATCTCACAAGCACCGTTCCTTGATCATCAGTAACGCGCATGCCATTTTCATCCCTCGCGCAAAGATCTACAATCTGGACGTTCTTCCACCCCGCAAAATGCAGATAATCGCCAACAAACTCCAGTCGCGAGCGCTCGTCCAGCATCATCCACCTTCTGACCACTTTGTTCGGGAAGCACCGATTGCTGATAGCGAGATGAACGCTCCCACCCTCCTTTGTGGCTTCCAAAAGCTTCTTGCAGACTTCGAGCGGGTTGTTGAGGTAGTCGATACTGACAACGCACGTCGTTGCGTCGAATTGTAAACCCTGGCCGTTTTCCCATGCAGTGCGCACGTCGTGTGGCGGCTTGTTCAGATCCAAGACACGCCAGCGATCCGCGCCTTGGAAGACACCATTAACCGCCATCTCCTCCGCGTTGAGTCCCACGCCATAAACTTCCAAGTCTCCCTTCTGAATCGCTTCTTTCATGGACGGTGGGTAGAACGACTTCCAACTCGTGCACATATCCATAATCTTTCCTGTCTTCGGTAATACAGTATCGTAGTATTGTGTCAATCGCGCTATCGATGGGTCGTCAATATGCGTGACTAGTCTGGGCTGTCGGTAAAATACGCCATCGTCGTTCTCGTCGTATCGCACGAAGTCCGAGTCGGTATACGGCCAATTATCGTATGTTGGGGCATATGGGGTTGCGGGGAAGGTTGCGGAGGACATGTTTGCGACGGTGTAGCCGGCGAAGAAGTTGAAGGGGATAGAGCGGTTAAGTGAGGAGTATGCGCGCCATGGGGTGGGGAGATTTGGTCTGATGCTGCGCAGATAGTGAGCGACTGACATGGGTTAATGGATTCAGGAGGGTAAAACGCTGGGAGTGTGCTGGGAAAGCGCGTTCGGTTGGTGTGGGTGAAATACGGATGATGACGTCATGACACGCGGACTCACGTGGCGACGCGAAGTGCATCCCGCTGCACTATTGCGGGGGCTTGTCATCCTTGAGGGCCTAAAGTAGTCAGCGCCATGCTATTTCGAAAGTTTCCATCCATTACTTACGTTGTAGGCAGCGAGGAGTTCCTCGTATTCCTCACGGCTCACATAGCCGTCATGGAAGGCGCGTGCCTCCTTCGCAATCTCCAAAATGCGCTTTTCGCGCGCATTTCGTTGCCGCTGGAAGTACATGTAGGCGCCCAGCCGAAGCGACAGCACCACCAGGATCCCGAAGACCCAGACGCTGCCCATTTTGATGTTTGAGCACTACGTAGTATGAAAAACGAAAAGACGTCGAAGAAAAAAAGGCGAGGAGACTTCGAGAAGGTTGAGAAGACGTTCGTTGCTACAGAAGAAGTGCAAACATGCCTACGATGCGTTTTTATTGAGGTTGCCAGTATGTTCCTTCCCTCGTTACTCGGCTCACGACTTCTTCGTCCCACGCAGCTGAGTCCAAAGACTCGGTAGACCTATGACTGTTGGGGAAGGCGCATGTAAGCTGCCAAGCCACCACCACGTCAACCCGAACATCTGTTCATCCCTCAACTCATTCACAAGAACTGCAGCTATTCCGTAACTAATACCACATCATTGAGTCGGTCACCGATCTCGCGATGCTGTTCTTTAGCAACGTGACTTCCTGGCTGGCGCCATTACTCGACGCTAATAGCTGGATCAATGGCTTTGGCGAGGTGCTTCCACCGCAACGCGAGTTCTTCTACGTTGGCGGGGAGTATCAGAACCTGTCAGTAAGTCACTCGAGATTCACGACCGAGCTATTCCCTCCTAGCTACGTGTATTACACCGTGAAAGAAAACGCTACATTTTGCTCTGACTTCCTGCAAAGCAATATGTCGTGTATGTCTTCAGAGCACATCAACCTCTGATGACATGCTAGCTTTGTCTTTCAAACTCCTAGTAATTACTGACCGTATAGATAGAAAACACGACCGCGCAGTACATGGTCAACCAGATCTATGTCGAAAAGCTCACCCCGGCAAAGCCAACCCAAGACTATCCCCTCGTCTTCATGCACGGAACTGGTCAGACTGGAACAACCTTTCTCGATACACCAGATGGTCGGCCAGGCTGGGCTTCGTTCTTCTTATCGCACGGGTATACTGTCTACCTGAGCGATCAGCCATCGCGCGGTCGTTCTCCGTGGTTGCCGAATACAGGCACGATGAAAAGCTCCAGTACTGCGCTCATCGAGCAACTGTTCACTTCAACGTCATCGCATAGCCTCTGGCCGCAAGCACAGTCGCACACCCAATGGCCCGGGACTGGCAAAGCAGGTGATCCGATCTTCGGCGCCTTCTATGCGTCTCAAGTCCAATACCAGGCCGACAATCTGATATCCGAAGCCGAGAACGCCAAAGCATACACAGCTCTTCTGGACAAGATCGGTGGCCCATCGCACATCATCGCGCATAGCCAGGCCGGTGCCTATGGATGGCGAGTCGGAGACCTCCGCCCTCATCTAGTCAAGAGTATCGTGGCACTCGAGCCCGCGGGCCCACCATTCATCGGAAGAATCTTTGGATCAGGTCCTGCGCGACCTTTCGGTATCACTGAGCTCGAAGTCGCTTACGAGCCGTCGGCGGGGCCCAATGCGACGTACATCCAGACAGCTGTTGTTCCTGCAAGAGACGTCAATTCGAGTGAATGTATCATGCAGGATGAACCGGCGAGGCAGTTGGTGAATTTGGCGCAGATACCGGTGCTGACAGTGACTTCAGAGGCGAGCTACCATGCGATGTACGATCATTGCACTGTAGAGTACATGCGACAGGCAGGTGTGAACGTGGAGCACATGAAATTGAGGAACGAGGGTCTTCATGGCAATGGACATATGTTCTTCATGGAGAGGAACAGTCTAGAGATTGCTGAGAAGGTTTTGGCTTGGTTGCAGAGGCATTAAGCTGGGCGAAGGAGTGCGCAGCCCACGTTGACGTTGGGTCACCTATTCACATGTTCTCATCCTGATGTAGGCTGCAGCCTTTTTGAGGTTCTTCCTAGTGTGGGTGCGAATGTAGAACACGTTAAACACTTGCAGCGTGTGGTTCCGAACACGTTTCGTGTAATGGTGATGGGAAGGAACAGAGTGCGGTGGCTGGGAGATGATCGGCCAGATGACGGCTAGCGCGCCCCGGAAGAGACTAGTCCCCGCAGCCCCTTCCCCTCCGCCTGTCCAGATGTCGCACCTTCTCCAGTCGCACAACGCGTTTTCTCCCTGTCTATTCTTGCTCGGTCTATCGCGTATCTAAATCTTCATCATACCAGCACGTTCGCGCAAATTGCGCTCGAATGGAACTCGAACAATGCTCCCACGCCGACCCATGATAGCCCGACCACTCACAGCCGCCATGATAGAAGCACTACCAAATTGGGAGACGGTTGCTTGCAACGTTCATCGCACACGGGTCTCGTCGAAGACGAACCACGGGACACGAGACGCTAACGTTTGCCGAAAACTCACAATCTACAAAGACTTCTACGAGCCCATAGAATTTGTATTCATGACCAACTTCTTTCACAATGTGCCTGAACATCCAGATCACCATCGCGAATCCCCTGGATCGCTCCCATCAGGGTAGCAAACCAGATCACTCGAGCCGACATGCACCAAACATCAAAAAGTCTGCGACACGCAAGAGCAGCAACAAGACCGTGACAAGCAGTACCACAGCGCCCGACATACACTCTTGGTTACAGAACATTCCAGGACCGACAATACACAGCGAAGACCCGCCTCCCTATACTGCAGAGCAGCCAAAGTCGCGCAAACAGTCATTACGACCACGCCAAAACCAGTGTTCGACGACTTCTCAGAATGAACCAAAGCTCACCCCGGCAGCTACAACGCGCAGGCTGAAGTGGAAGAAAGCTATCTTGGCCATATGCGAGCACAAGACCTTCACATGACTCAACTGCGTAGCATTCACAGCAGATATGGACCTTGGCTATGTCGATGTAACCGCCACAGTTACGTAAATCAGGGTGTAATGCCTCCCTGGATCGAAGTCGAACGGAGCTCCAACCGCGCAAAAGCCGTCTCGCATGTTCATCTCTTGTATCGCCCCGGTGGCATTCTGTTGTCTCTGCAAGACGTCCAGGAGGCACTCGTTGCCTGGGACAGGTTTGTCTGCATACACCTCAAGATGAACGACGTCCACGTCTTCTCATCGTTGGCAAGGCATTTGCATCTTCCGGCCGAATGCTTTAGAAGAGATCTCAACAGGGATGGTGGACATGAAAGCCGAGGCCGCGAGAACATCTTGCAAACCAAGACCATAGAGTTACTGAGAAACGTGGAAGGGCATTGTGGTGAGCTGCATTGCAACACGCACTTCGGGTTGGAATGGATTTCTGACGGTGGTGGGATTGGGTTTTGGGTAATCCGACGCTTGGGAACCATGTGACCATCGAGCGCCGAAGAGCTCGACTTTGAGCTGTCCGCCTACCTCAAACTCCAGCCTGGCAGCTACAACGCACAATCTGAAGTCACTGGAAGCCAATTTCGGCCTACGTAGCCGCCACGCGCATCACCAGCGGTCACGACAGCGTTCGACCCACGCACACAAGACTCGCAAGAATACTCCCATTCCAGTCATTATACCGTTACAGTTCGAGGCCGACGCGATCAACCTTCC